TTGCACCCCAATTAGCTCTGGCCTTACAAAATAATGGCAGCTTTTATATTAGCGATTGGAAAGACGAAAACCCGAATTTATTTGCTGCCATTAAATTAGAAAAGCGAGTGATGTTTATTATCATGACGCTGGTGGTGGCAGTAGCCGCATTTAATATTGTGTCTACACTCATTATGGCGGTTACCGATAAGCGTGCGGACATTGCCATTATGCGTACGTTTGGCGCCAGCCCTCGTAGTGTGATGATGATTTTTGTGGTGCAAGGCGCGCTGATTGGTGTAATAGGCACGGTGTTGGGTGTGCTGCTGGGTGTCACAATTGCACTCAATGTGGATGTGATTGTGCCATTTATTGAGCAATTATTTGGTGTGCAGTTTTTAGATAAAAATGTCTATCAAATTTCTGTCGTACCTTCGCAATTATTATGGTCTGATGTCATCATCATCACTGTTACGGCTTTTGTGCTAAGCCTTCTAGCCACACTTTACCCAAGTTGGAAAGCCTCTAAAATCAACCCTGCGGAGGCGCTACGCTATGAATAATTTTGACCATTCAGATAATATCGTAGCCTGCGAAAATTTAAGCAAAACCTACCAAGGTTTAGAAGTGGCTGTGCTTAACAATATTAATTTTTCTGTAAAAGCGGGTGAGCAAGTGGCGATTGTGGGCGCTTCAGGCTCAGGAAAAAGTACCTTGCTCCATTTGTTAGCTGGCTTAGATACGCCCAGCAGTGGTGAAGTGCGCATTTTAAACAAAAATTTAGCCAACTTTGCCGAGGCTTATAAAGGCACTTTGCGCAATGAGGCGCTGGGGTTTGTCTATCAATTTCACCATTTATTGCCAGAATTTACCGCGCTTGAAAATGTCGCCATGCCTTTGTTGATTCGCCATCTATCCCGCGAGGTTGCACTTGCGCAAGCAGCTGAAATGCTGGGGAAAGTTGGATTGGCGCATCGTTTGCAGCATATGCCCGGTGAACTTTCAGGTGGTGAGCGGCAGCGTGCGGCGGTGGCGCGGGCTTTGGTTACCCAGCCAAAATGCGTGATGGCCGATGAGCCAACAGGTAATTTAGATAGAAATACCGCCCACGCGGTGTTTGATATGCTGTTGGATATTAACCAAACGCAAGGTGTGGCTTTAGTGGTGGTGACACACGATTTAGAATTAGCCGCAAAAATGCAACGGCAATATCGCTTAGTAGATGGGCAATTGCAAGTTTTGTAACATTACCTCAAAG